CGTGTGTTAGTGGACAAAGTGGCTATTTTACAGAAACCCTTTTTTGTTGATTAGTATAATGCTTGTTAATATAAATTCAGCAGCAAGATCAAAAAAGGCATTTGCCCAGTAACCTCCTATATTAGGGCAATTTTAAAAGTAACTTTGCATATACCACTTTCCCCCTCCCCCTCTCCCCCCCTCCCCCACTGGAGTTGGGTCTCGCTAGCTGACGACAGCCAATAAGCCAGAAATAGCTATCCTAGCGTCCCCGTCTTTGTCGGTAATACCTAAAAATAAAATAAACGTTACTGAAACTTAGTAAGTAGCATTACTATTCGCCTTGCGACATACGCTTGGATGTGTCCAAGCCGCAACGTCATCAACCCGGATCGCTGTACGATTACCTACTATTCTTTTTTTATTTCCCATGATCTGCCCCACCTATTTAACCCCTATTACCACCGGTTCTGGATTACAGAATGATTGAGTTTTCACGTGCCATAGTGAACTCTGAATGTAACTTTTACCCAACCTGCTATTCCAATTCGGCGAATCAACTGCGGAACATGAAAATAGCCTATTTGGAGTTTTAATGCAGGACATAATGTACATAATTCCTCTGTGTGTTCTGTGGTCGTCTACTTCACGTGGCGTCAACCACCTAATGCGGTTGTTTACGCCGCATGCGATCTAGTCTTGGGCAAGGTTACACCCTGACACCGGTCTATAATTTGGCCTCACTCATTGGCCGGGCCCGGGCATGGTTCAGGCGCACATTCACACCGAGTACTAACAGACGATGGCTGGCTGGCTCTTTGCGTAGTGGGACGGTCACTACTGCCGGCCTCCCATGCTCTCCCTGGCTTTTGATTTGGGAGAGCTTATGTCGTCGACCCTTAGAATTCGACAGTTTTAGACCTTTATCCTATCATAGGTAATTTTCTAGTTCAGCACTTTGATCCTTTTACCACAGAAATGCACGAGTAGTCTCGATATTTTCCCCAGTTGGCTCCTCCCCAAATGGTGAGTACAGCGTTATGCTAGTAAGCAGATTTACTTTGTCCCTTCCGCGTTACCGGAAACATGGCGATCATAACAGCCACATTTGCTTTTCTCTCATCGTGGCTAAGACACATTGCATAAAGGTCAATCCAAAGTTCTTACTGTTGAGGTCGATGCAACGTCGGTCAATAAAGGACTATTTATTTTCTGGCTTTTTGCTAGCAAGGTTGGCAACCGTTATAAGAGGTGGTGAAAATTCATCTAATTTAATTTGAGCAGAGAAAAATTATATATTCAAATATCAGCTTTACTGTGACACTCACGATGTGTACATCAATGTTCAATCCTTCTGTCCATGTCGTTGTATTTAAGAGTTATGCCCTTGTCTAATTTGCGTCCTGCTCTGGGCGTTCGCGTAGGAAGTCCCTCACGTGTTGTCAGCACCTGAGGGGCGCGCTTAACTCGACGGTAGGCTAATTGCTGAAACCCTCGTTGTCATGCCAGGCGAGACTGATCTCTGGGTTGGCGGTTCCTTTTAAGGCGTGACAGCCCGAAGAAAATAATGCTGCATCATGTTCTGGACCGTAAAACAGATTTCCACAACATTTTAGAAGTCTGAAACAAGTAAGTTGATTCTTTTATCTGGTTTGACAAAGCATTCAATTTTCTGTTTTAAACCTTTGGAATTTTGAAATGTACAGCTGTTAGCGCCAGGAAGGCACTATCAAAATAAATTAGTACCGAACTAAAATTATGACAAATTGCGCAGATAAAATGTACAAATCTGTAATAATGTAAGCAGAAATTGTCCTTTTAGAGCAATACTAAGCGATGTTTTTAAATTAACTGTAAAATAAAAAATAGGCTGTCAAAATACTCCCGGGCCAAAGACGGAGGCAGCGTTCAACGGGTTTCCATTTTCAAAACGAGTGTAGGAGAAAAAGCTGCTTAAGAAAATAACATAAAGGGGTAGATTAGGCTAATACTACAATGACAGTTCGGAAGGAAAAAATGAAACGTCTATATAGTTCGCTCGTGATCGCTTATGCACATGAAATTAAATCCCGTGAAAAAGTGTCAATGGACGTGGGACCTTAACATCTCAGGAGCCAGAATGGAATTCCTATGATGGTTAGTGGCCAACAAAACGGAAGTAGTTTAGACTGTCAGAAGACTGTTTAGACGACAGCTTACGTCGATGCCAGTTACACAGGTACGAACACCGGAAGCCGACGTAAGACCCCCTGACTCAGGTTAATCTGCTTCAAAGGCCACGATGGTTGAACATCCCTCCCAACCTCCCCCCTTAAGCCTTATTGCCTATAATTGCCAACACCTATAAATACTGTGAGGCGCGGTACAAATCCCGCCTCTATTGACGGAAGTTTATAAGCTTTCCAAACGTCAGGAAAGTCAAACGATGGTTCCCGAGCTCGCCTTATCTTCTCAGTTTAGATTGTGTAATGGAAGGGCCCCTTAGGCCTTAAATATACAATTTATTTATTTATATGACTTCCATCAATTGAATCACTTTATTAAATGCGAAGCGCGACCCCGCGGGGATGTAGCTCAGTGGTAGAGCGCCCGCTTCGCATGCGAGAGGCCCCGGGTTCGATCCCCGGCATCTCCACATTTTCTCTTCTGCTTCTAACTGCTTGCAGCGGACAAAGTCTGCATGCAGTCGACCAACTTTCTAAGGGAACCGGGTAATTCTCGAAGTATAACGTTATATTAAACAAAGTTTAAGCTGTGTGGCAAATATTAACACCAATGAAAGTGATTTTGCATTTACCCTGGGCTAGTGCGCCGTTTATAGACCGGTCTCTCAACTCCAACAAAAGCTACGCAGCTTTTAATTTCTCAAAAGTCTAACTATTCGAATTCATTGAGCAAACGAACCCTTTTTGTTAGATCTGTTTTATTACACTCGGTCTCTCAATTAATGCACTGTCATATAGTCACCAGAAGCAGTTTTAACCTAAGCGTGTATGATGCAACTCGACAACAAAAGAAGCGTGTTCGTCGTCAGCTGGATTTTAACCTCGAACCTTCCCCTAAAAGGTTGGGTGGCTTAACCACTCGGCCACCGTACGACTTACGTAGCGCAGCAGATATACAGTTAACGGGATGTATAATTCAGTTCAGTTCAGTTCTACTGAGGTAAAGATAGGCAAACGTCTTTGACCACCCTAGTGGTGACAAGTGACTGAAAAAGTATATCGATACAGTAGAGAAATTCAGTGGTTGTTCATATGATTGCAGGCAAAAAGCTAGCAGAGTCGGTTAGTGGGAAACAGTGAATATACATTACTACTCTTTCATTGTGAGTAGTATAATTGCATAATTATAGTAGCTCGGCTCACGGACGACGCCAATGACGAGCGATTAGATGGGAGACAGTCAAAAAAGAGCGGACAGTCTCCATCCTTGGATAACGAACTCCAGTTTCGTCCGCACAAATGTTCCAAAGACCTTAGCGTTGCGATATTTATCAAAGGCACAGAAAGCCCGTTGGACAAGATACAGGGCTGAGATCGCAGACTTGGCTACTTTTGCACAATGCAGCAAGGGCTTAAGAGACGCCGTGATCCACAATCCCAGCTCCTTCTGAGGGTCCACTCCTTGCAGTTGGATGCCATTCAGGCTGTAAATCATGGGATTCTGGGAGCTGGGTCGGCCAACTCGTAGGATACTGCACTTGTTCTCATTAAACTGCAAGAGCCTGTCTTTAGACCAAGTTTGAAGACGGTTTGGTTTAACCTGCAAACGCTCTTCGTCAACTGCATTTCTGATTACGTTCGAGATCTTGATTTCATCGGCAAACATAGTGACATCACAGTCCAGTTCACGGACACAGTCGTTGACGTACATAATGAACAGTATAGGGCCAAGGACATAACTTTAGGGAACATCGATCTCAACCGCAACATCTGCCGACTGCTGGTCACCGATATGAACAGTTTGAGAACGGCCAAGTAGGAAGCTTCGAATCCACTTCAGGAAAGTTCCTCTAACCCTATTTGGCTGAGTTTTTACAGAAGTCGTTGATGTGGAACACTATCGAATGCCTTCTTGAAGTCAATACAGACTACATGAAGCGGATTTCTTCCATCATCTGCCCGGTTCCAACGTTCCAAACAATAAAGCAAGTTCGTCACGCAGGACCTGCCTCTGCGGAATCCATGCTTCGCATTCTATGGTAGGAAACACACCAGCTCTCGCTTCACTAATTTTCCATAATTTTGCAACGGATCGAAGTATGGCCAAAGCTTGCTGCTTGCTCATTTTCTCTGACGATGGCTTCTCGTGTGGAGCCGAAAGCTTAGAAGAATAAAAATTGTCATTCCAGAGATCGCGTCTTCTTCTGGTCTTTAATTGTTTGGGGAAACCTCTCTGTCACCTTTATACAGCGGTGTAATCTGTGCAGATTTCCAATCGGCGGGTAAACAACCACCTTCAAACGAGGTATTGAAAAGTTTGGAAGGCGGTTTAGCTAGTTCCGCAGCACGTTCTTTCTGTAATTTGGGCGGAATATCATCGGGATAGGTGATTTCCATTAATCTAATGCCAAGAAATCCTGACGAACAGTTGCTTCGGCGAAAACTACATAATCAATCTTTAGACCGTCTTCTATGCCATAGCTGGAGAGGACGAATTCGCTTTCAGTCGTAAAGGTCGATTTGAAAAAATTGTGCGAGATCCTCAGCTTTTGCTCCATCCTCACTAATTTCTGTTTCGTCGCTTGTCGTCAGAAGAAGAACTGGGTCCCGGTTTCGTGTGGTTATTCTTAAATAGCCATAGAATAACTTAGGATTTGTAACTTTCCGGTTCAGTAAATCTTTTTCAAAATCTTGGAGTGTCCTTAAAATAAGTCACTTCACGAGGATCCTCTGCAATTTGTATGCAATGATGTATACGGGATTTCTATCTGCGAGAGATTTCCTCCACAACTTCCGTTTTTTATTAACCTCTTTCTTCAGCGCTTGAGTCAGCCACTGGGGTCATTTTGTTTAGGTTCTTTGTGAAAGTGGACGGTGGTTTCTAAGGAGAGTATAATAATAATAATAATTTGTATATTTGAGGCCCAAGGGGCCCTGTCGTTACAAACTTAGTGCTATCGT